ATCACGATATATCACTTTCTCTAACACTAACCCTAACGGACAAAACATGTTTAACGACCATAAACCGGCGGTGTGGGACCAAGAATGTTAGAAAATCTTTGTCAAGACAACATCTTATCTTTTGGTTTAAATGTGTCCTTACAAGACTTAAAATGCTTAACATTTATGCATTGAGGCTAGTCCTGCAAAAGTGTTTTCGCAGCTGTGATTTATAACATTCAGTTCATATGAGGCTCAACAACAGGAGAATGGTGCATTCTGTATTTTTTACCTTTTAAATGTCTCCATCTGGTGGTGGAGCTGCTGTAGTGTTGGCACAGAAATACATCGAGATGTATTTCTGTGCCAACACTACAGCAGCTCCACCACCAGATGGAGACATTTAAAAGGTAAAAAATACAGAATGCACCATTCTCCTGTTGTTGAGCCTCANGTGAATGAATTCAAAGTAAATATATAAGTGGTCATGAACACATCTGTCCATCAGACAGAGGGCTGCTGTGCCTCCTGTCATCATTAATGGACTTTTCTTTAATATGACCGCTCAGAGGAGAGGAGTTCTCATTTCTCTAACCGCCTGCTGCTTCCCCTCCTCTCTCCTCGGTTCCCCTCCTCGGCTCCTCCGCTCGCATCTCCTGTGGGCGGGACTAAGTCTCGAGGATAGGAGTCGAGGAGGGGAGTTAGAGAAATGAGAAAGGGCAAATCTGTCTATCCCCTTCTATCATGGGCCACTTCTGATTGGTTAACTATGGCTGGTACATGTGGAGCACAGCACTTCTGATTGGTGTGGATGACTGACACAAGAAAAAATAAATAAATAAAATATTAAAATAATTAAAAAGAATAAATAAATAATAATCGTAGGCTTTGCGATTTGATAATTGCATCATTTAAAATCGTGATTTTGATTTAAAATCGATTAATCATTCAGCCCTACTTTGAAGTAGATTATGACAGATTTATTTTGTGATATTTGAAGACTATTTCAATTGTATTACGTACTTAAGTGATATTGTTCGGCTTATAAGCAGTTTGGGCTTATATTCATTTCGGACGATCTTTAGCATCAGTCTACTAACAAATACGAACCCTCCTCAAGCCCCGGGCCGATAATGAGCCTTTAATTACTCAGAGTGACCAAACTAAAACTGGAAACGGATTCATCTTCTCAGAGGTTTTGAACATACACCAAAACCACTGTGAATGTTTTAAACCAAAGAGAAACCTGAAATGAATTGAATTTGGTCTTTCATTATGAATTTTAAGAACATACTCGAGTCTTTGCTGACGTACCTCAAGGATCTCAAAAATGTCATTTGAATCCAAAGAGTTTTGCTTTGATGTTTCTGTCCACACAGATTGATGCATCTTTTTCCAAATATTTTATTCAAGATTTAAAGATTTTTCTTTGATTAAATATCACAAAGCAACTCCAAAGCGCAAAAATTCCCAGAACATTTCATCCCAGTGAAATGATGGACTCTTTTTACATGATGGTGATCATAAGTATGAGTCATACACAGTAGGGTCCTAACCCTCCTGTTGTCTTCGGGTCAAATCTGAGCGATTTATTACTTTCATCAATCATAACTTTTTTGTTTTATATTCGATTGCATTAAGGCTTTATGATATCCTTCACAGTAGACATTTGAACATATACATGCTGATCACCACTTTCATTGAATTTTGGATGATTTAGTCAACGTTGTAACACCCATGGTGTTCCCGGTCAAAAATGACCGCCATAAAGAAAAGGAATTAGTAACCATCCGGATCAGATAAAACACACACACACACACACACACACACACACACACACACACACACACACACACACACACACACACACACACACACACACACACACACACACATACTCTAGATGTGTTCCCCCTCTTATGTGCCCATCGGGGGGATGGGCACATAAGAGGGGATGGATCACACCTGGCACATGCGATACATGTTCAGTGTCTATTCTTTGTATATTTAATGCAGTTCTTCATGTATACCAGTAGTCTGATGCAATATTTACAGTTTGAAAGGGTGTTAAAGGACATTTGGTGATGATTAATGTTTTTTGTGTTTATGTAATGGCAGTTAAAACAGGACCGGTCAAATTTGACCGCGAACACCAAATTAAGGGGGGGTAAGGCAATAGGAGGGTTAAAATCGAAAGTCGGAACATCTAAGCTCCAACCCCCAGAATTCATTCTATTAGTCAAGAAAACTCTCCTGGTGAATTTTTCTCCTCAATCTGACAACATTTACCCCTACCTCATTGACCTTGAACTTGAGCCTCAGTTGCAGCACCGTGGCTGCCGGTGTGGCAGCCCAGGTCGATGAGGGAGGGGTACATTTTGTTGGAATTTGAATAAAATTCACCAGGAGAGTTTTCTTGACTATCATAACGAGTTCCCGTTGGAGCTTAAAATAAATGAATTCGAAATTACATGCAAAACTTAGGGACCACCCCTAATACATCAGACTTGTAAAGATTGTTTTGTACATATTTTTTTGAACGAGAATGTTAAATTTCGGCCAACACTACAACTCCTCAACNGTTCACTTCCACATAAAAAAGCCTCGGCACTTGACCTCCCGCGTGTGACGTAACATGGGGGAAACAAGGGGGAGAGCAGCCGGTGTAACGTATTAATAAACATGGATCCCAATGCTAGTTTCGACACAAAAGACACATAAGAAGTTGAACATGAATATTCAAATGCATATGACGGACCACAACCTCATAATTATGAGCCTGCTAGGCGTCCAAGAGACCAGGAGCAGCCAAGGATTAGAAGAAATAACGGCCATCGGAGAGAAATTGAGCTGTGGTGTGAGGAGAACCAGTGGAGAACTGGGCAGCTATCTTGGTGAGCGACCGGCGTTAGCTACAGAATGTTAGACCCGAGATACGGCTGATACTTGACGATCTGGCGGAGAATGGTTGTGGAGCCTCCGTTGATATGCCGTTGTAAATGGCTTGATGGAAAGCAGTGTAGTCGGGGAGGGTGCACAGCTGATTGCAGCAGGTGAGTGGAGGTTGAGCCGGGAGCCAGGAGTGACAGCCACCACGCACACACAAACAACACAGACAGGGGGAAACAAACAAACACAAAGGAGACGGCTGGAGCAGTACAGCCACCACAGCGTTACCTAATGCAACTCCACACTACGTCTTAATGTGCCGTGTACTGGAGGGGAGAGAGAGAGAGAGAGCAGCGAAGGGGGGAGGGGGAGAGAAGTAATACGGTTTCCTGATAAAGCTGTGGAGAGTATGTGCTGCAGGGAGGTGGATGCACAACGCAGCCAGGAACGAACGCTAGCTCCGGTCCTTTTTACTGTGGACTCGATGTCCTGACAGGCTGGTATTTGTGCAACCTGCACAAACACAATACTGCACCATGATTACAAATGGTGAAATACAATGTAAAACTACCAAAAAATACCAGCTCACTAAAACACAACCGCTCAACTCAACGCAACTACTAACTATACCCGCGGTCTGAGAGCGGAGATGTTTACCCTTTGTGATGTAATATGACGCGTTTGACGTATGACCTTAAAAAAAAGCCGTTTTTAAGAGCAGAGCTCAAAATTGCTCCTTTCCCTCTGAATTCCTGCCCTTATGTCTCGTAAAACATATCAAATCCTACATTCACTTTTTTAATTGTAATTTTCAAGCAAGTTTAAGCATAAATGTAGAAAAAAAAAAAACCTGAAAGATGCTATTTAAGGGTCGTAGTGTGGGAGTATTATATTGATGTCATATAATACTACATTTATCTTTTTGGTAATTATATGGAATATGCAAACTTAGTGTTTATTTCCTACTTACACACACAGGCGATATTTAATGATCAAATAAGTTGGTTATTCGCAGTTGCTTATTGGTTTCCTCTTTATTTGACACTGTTAAACTTTAATCTCCTTTTCTAAGATTTTGGTCAAATCTGACTTTTTTGAATGATTACTATTAGAAATGTGCCTTAAAACGTTTCTCAAAAGTCAGGGTGCAGTTTGTCGAAAAAAAGGTCATTTCTGTATAATTTAAGAATATCAAAAGCCTCTACATAAAATCAAAAATCAGGGAATTTTACATTTTCATAGCTTCAAGGTGTTTGGTGAAGACTTTAAAGGAATATAATGCCTGAGTTTTGGTAGTCTGCCTTAAAGGGGCCTTATTCTACTAATTTTCAGGTTCATATTTGTATTTTGTGCCTCTACTGTGACATGTTCTGCTTGGTTAGCTGGCTGGCTCTGTTGTGATTGGTCAACCGCTTAGATATATCACGCCCCTTAGCCTATAACGTGTGTTGGAGATCTAGCAAATAGAAGCATAACTGTTACATAGTGGTGTCATTATTTTACGGTAATAGACAAAGGAGTCCACTGGAGGGGTTTCAGGCAGAGAGGGAGTGTGTGGGGACACTTTGGGGATTTTAGCCTTTGCAGACCATTTACACGAACACAAAACGCACTACAGGAAATGAAAACCCCAAAAAGCATAATAGGGCCCCTTTAAGTTATTTAATTGTCCTTATGATAATATAAAACAAAAAAGAAGATACATACAATTATATATAAAATACACAAGTGGAAGGAAAAAAGCTGAGGGACTTTCAAAAGAACCCAAACATTTCACAAATAGCTGTACAGTATATATATGCATAATAACTTTACATAAAAAAACGAATACAATTTCCATACAACAAGGTTAAAAAAAAAGAAGTATATGGGAAAGTTTCTTTGGAGTATCGAAGGTGGAAGTTAGCGTGGCCCAGATTTAAATTGAGAATCAGATCTAGTTTCTAGCTTCCTTTTGTAGAAATTGTACGGCAGCCCTGATGTGAATTGTCCTCCTTTGCTGACAGAAATGGATGATTGACCTCAAAAGAGAAGTCAGTGCTTTATTCAGCTGAATGCCAGCTGAGTGCTGTACTGAATCTGTTTTCTTTCTGATGTGCATTTAAACTGAGTCTCTTTCTTTCCTTTGTTAGCTTACAGATTCTCCAGATTCCGTTCCAAAGATGAAGAGGAGTTTCTACGCTGCCAGGGACCTCTACAAATACCGTCACAGCTACCCGGTACATGCACGGGAAAATAAAGACGGGTGGCATACAAAAAATTCAAATGTAGAAATGGGATGCACGGTAGTTACCTTATTGTTCACACCCAGCTTTGTTCTGTGTGCATTTGCAGAACTACCGAAAGTCACGGCAACCCAACGAGTACCGTAACCTGCGCTTCTACTTGAACAAGATCCCTCTAGTGCCTGATGGTAAGATCAGAAACACACACACACACACACACACTGAAGAAATGTTTGCTTTAGGTTTAGTGAGGTTTTATTTGACTTGAAAAGATAAAAAGATTAGTGACTGATCCCATGTTCAAACACACAAACACACACACACACACACACACACATGTGCACACACACACACACACATGCGCACACACGCACACACATGCGCACGCACACAAACACACCAGAGTTCCCGCTAGCCGGTAACCGGACTATGACCGGTAAAATATGCTGAAGACCGGCAAATCTAAATCTCTCCGGTCAAAATGTCCGGTCAAAATTATTTCCCCTTAGCACAATACCGCATCAGTTGCGCAATTTATGTGACAGACAAGAAGAATATGTGACAGACAAGAGTAGTCAATTCTAATGTCTAACACTTAATGTGGAGAAAGAGATGTCCTGTATGGGTTGATTGTGCATTGATCTGTTGGTAATGACTCTGGGTTCCGGTGGGCATGTAAACAAATGCATAATGCTGCGCTATACTTTGTGGCCACACCCGGTTGCATATCGACGCTTATTGTTTAGGTGTCTTTTGATAAGCAGGTAGTCATATCATTAGCTAGAACTAGCTAGATCTGATCGATATGGACGTAACGCGAGTAAAGTCTAATCTGACGGGAGAGAGAGATCAGCTGCTGCTGACGAGTCGACACGCAGCTCTGCATGATCACCTGCAGCGGTGAGCGGAACAAAACACACACTTCAGGTTAGAATATCACACGTAGCTATTTTAATTACCTCTCAAACTACCTAAAAGTTATAGATATGTTTAGTTTTACTGTCGGTTCACTCATTACTGGATCCGCGAGCTGCATGATACTGGCGGGCTGTCAGGAGAGGGAGAGAGCGCTTCATTTATTATTCCCGTGTTATTGTAAGTTACTGTACACTTTAGAATAATGTAGTTAATCTACTATAATTAGTTTGTTTAATATTGAATCATATCAATTAGTTTTAGAGCTCAATAAATAACAAAGAAGACCTTTGTCCGGCACTTTTCTCCCTTTTTCCGGAAGATTTCAACTTTAACCGACATGTTGACCAGCAAACATGTTTTCAAACGTAAACTCTGCTACCTACCTGTCTGTCTACACTTAGATCTTTCCTGCCGTTGGACTTGCACCATTCTGTCACGATGCATGAGTATTTTCAACATCAGTAGAAAACAAGAACAACTGTGTTAGAAAATA